TGTGTGTGTGTGCGCGCGCGCGTGTGCGTGTTTTTAAAAAAAATATCAGGCCTGTGTCTCTGTGCACTGTTTTATTTTTGCTTCTGCATTTGTTTTTACTATTTGATATCATAATTTGATACATCCAGTAGGCCTACATTTGATGAAAAAAGCTAATCACATGGCCACTACACATTGTAGGATCAACTCTTTCGATTGTGCGCGGAATAGAAGGCCTTAAACCCCTTCTCTGCTTGGCCCGAGACTGACTGTCTCGGGCTCCGTGGTTGAACTAAAAGTAGAAGTGAATTATTGTGTAATGTAATATGGTAACATTTTATTTTAACATTCATAATTATGCACATGATTCTATGTAGCTTTATGTCCTTTTCTGCCTGCAGAATGGCTAGGAGAGGGGAAAAGAGACGGAGATATACTCCTTACCCCCAAAAAAACAAACAAACAAACACACAAACAAAAACAACCCTTCACAGACTCCACGTCACAAACTTCGCATCCTGCTCCAACCCCTCGCGCACCCACAAACACAACCCAACCCCCACCCCCATATCTTATCCGACTCCCAAATCCCTCATCCCACTCCTCGTTCCTTCCCCCATATCCTACGCAACTCCCATCCCAATTCACCCCCACCACGACCCCCCCCCATTCCCATCCTCTCTTTTCCCATTCACCTCACCTCCGGAAACTTTTATAAGAATTCCCTTATCCCTCCATTCCAATACTTCCATCGTTCACCTTTTCATGACCCCGGGTCGGGGTTGCATTATTATTAGAGAAGTAAAGGTATAATGAGTGATAAAACGATCAGAAACAGCTGATGTAGACTTATAAAGACGTGTTTGTTCAACGTGCGGTCAGATTTCCCCTTCCAGTGTCTGTTCTGTGGCGGTTAGGTGCTTCGCTGTCTCACGCAGAAGACCCGAGTTTGATTCCCGAGTGGGGGTAACTTTTATCGAGTACCTTGGTCTTTCTAATAGGCATGGGATGCTGCAGTTGTATACCTTTCCGGGTAAGTCCTGACAGGAGGCAAGGTAAGAACCCACCTCTAAAATGAATTAAATTGTGTCGATGGGCCGTAAAATTTTTACATTAGTGAAGAAAAAAAATAACATCAAAGATTTCACGTGGGTGGTTTGCGGGTGCTCTGGTGTGGTTTGCTCCTTCTTTCCTATCAAACATATACCGTCCTGATCTCTCCTCCTTCTGTTCTATGTTTGTTACTCTTTTGTAACACTTCTAATCTTCGGCACATATATAACCGTATTGTGTTGCAAGTGCCGTAAAACTCTTACCAAAACTAAAAGATTTCACCTACCTTTGGCCTCTTCCACACTATGTCTGCAGGGGCGGGGCGACTGAAGAAGAGGGAGGAGCCTGTGGGCGGGAATTCCCCATCCACAAATAGCTTTCTCTTACTGAGGCACCGTCGTCGGAGTTTTCCATAGAGCTGACCTTTGAATGGCTTGTCCTTAGAAGCCATGGGGACCTGATTGGAGAAATAATTACATAATATGAAAACATGATTATGGTGGTGTGTATGTTTGTGTTTTTGTATGTGTGTACGTGTATGTGTGTGTTTACGTGTGTGTGTGTGTGTGTGTGTGTGTGTGTGTGTGTGTGTGTGTGTGTGTGCAGAGGCGAAGCGTCTATATAATCAAATAATCACTGCTTCCCTTCCTAATTTTGAAACATTGTCGCAGTCAAATTCACCCATAGACGTAAACCTCATAAATTAAATGTAAAAAGACGTTCACAATCACCAATGAACAATAGACTATGCCTAACCTTCAAAACCGTTTCATTGCCACAGAAATAGCCTGTTCGCCCCTATCGGGCCACTCCATAAGCAGTCACAAGCTTTGATTAAGTAAGCTTTTAGTGAGGTTGGAAGAGTCAACCCATAGATTTGAAGGGAACATGTGCATAGCAGTCAGAACTGTTTCATTGTCGCATATACCCTGTTCACCCCTCTCGGGCCACAGTAATAAGCACCCAGACGCGCTGATTATATAAGCGAACTATTACACTGGTCGAGTCTACCTCACAGATGTGGGGGGGAACTAACTCCTAATAATCCTTTGACTCCTGCTACTACACTGCTAGTGCTTGTTTTTTTCCTCGACTTTTTAACGTCCTATAATCAGATCGTGACCTCGATTATGACAGCGGCTCCCGGCCGCGAAAAGCTAGACAAAAAACAGCCAAATGTGAAATAAAAAATTAATAATTGGAGTGCTCTACCAAAGTGTTTCGGCTGTCTGGTATAACATGCCATTGTAGTGCTGACATCTATGCTTCTTTCCTTGGTGTTCGTGTGTTCAAATCTAAAGTTAAATTTAAGGTTAGTTAGAATAAATATTTAATGAAATACTTTCCCGATTATGTTAGCGGTTGAACAAGCATACAACATGAATTCAGGATTTGTTTTCATTCACAACTCAGAGTTGCCGCCTCCAGTACCAGTAAGATTCTTGTGACTTGTGTGAGTGTGATATCTCCAGGCCCTATCTGGTCCCATTTCACTTTGATTACCCTGTCAAACAAGTCAGCCTTCGCCCCTGTGTGTGTGTGTGTGTGTGTGTGTGTGTGTGTGTGTGTGTACGTGTGTGTGTGCATGTGTGATGTGTGTGTGTGTGTGTGTGTGTGTGTGTGTGTGTGTGTGTGTGTGTGTGTGTGTGTGATGTGTGTGTAATGATCATCATCACCACTACAACTACCACCATCACCATCATCATCACCGCCATCAACAACAACAACAACAACAACAACAACAACAACAACAACAACAACAACAACAACAACAACAACAACAACAACATCAGCATGAGCAGCAGCAACAACAAGAAGAACAACAATAAATAATAATAATAGATAGCATTTGTATAGCGCATATCCCCGCTCAGCAGCAGGCCCTATGCGCTTTACACTATATTATTACCCCAGCAGACCATAGAACACTCCGAAACATTCTCAGCTTCCCGGGAAGCATACAATGTAAGCAGCCGATTAAGCGCTCAAACACTAACAAACTGACAAGATCTTTCGCTGTCTATAGCCGGGTACCCATTCCCACCTGGGTGAAGTGAGGAAAATTCGTGTAAAGTGCCTTTCCCAAGGACACAACGTCGGGCCCTTGACGGGATTCGAACCCACGACCTTACGGTTGCGAGTCCGAGAGCCTAACCACTAGGCCACCGACGCCACTAACAACAATAACAGCAACAGCAACAACTGAGAACACCACCAACAACAGTACTAACAATAGCTTTTTAATAATTTCAACATCTCCAAACACACCAACACCCACGCACTCTGAGTTGTAGGTTCGGTTTGAGCTCTGTGCCCTACACCTACACAACAAAGGATCTTTTTTGAAGGAGAGGCACTTAAACCGCTGAGTTAGGAAAACAAGAAATCTGCTGTGCATAGGTTGCGGGATTCAGGGGGTAGAAAGGGTAGAAGGCGTAAAAATAGATACACTATTTCCAAAAATTGTCTGTATGTCATTAATCTAAGGGCACGTTCCTCTTGTGTAGGCCTATTGCTTCATGCTTATGTCATGACGTGGTGGGATCAGGCACTCGTCAGTTTTTGGGCATGTGGAGTTATTGGTATCATCTTAAAGGATATTCATTTGCCTAGCTTTCGATGAAAGAAATATCCATTTATCTTCTACAGAAGTCGAGATATTTGCCATGGAAGGAGGTGGGGTCACCTGGTTTTAGAAGTAAAATTACTGAGAAAATGGACGTCAAAGTTTGGAGGCTGCGTAGCTTATGAGTCCTTGGAAACTGCAAACTTATATTTTTGTGTGTCTTTTATCAATGTTTTTCTATAAATTCCACCCCTTAAAGTGTTTTTGAATGGATATACATTGCGCAATTTCGTTGCATGAACAGTGCTGTGCCTGGCAAAGCTTATAAAAGGGAGACTATTTATCTATTCCCTCCCTTTTCCTCTTTTTATCCCAATCTTTCTCTCCACCTCTCCATCTTTTCTAATATCCCTCTCCCCTTCCCCAGCCCCTCTCTCTATCTCTCTGAGTCCCCCCTCTCTCTCTCTTTCGTCTGTCTGTCTGTCTGTCTGTCTGTCTGTCTGTCTGTCTGTCTGTCTGTCTGTCTGTCTGTC